CTTCAGTCTCTGGTGACATGTGCGCTTAATTGAGCCTCACCCCAAAGCATGCGCACCACAAAGCGCCACACTCAGGCCCACCAGTAGGTGGCGACAACACAACATGAATCCAGATTAAACACCAAATTTTAAACATTGCAATCACATAATGGTAAATGATAATAATTACATTTCAATGCGACGGCTACAATATCCTCTTTGCAACAAAGGAAGGTTCTCCTTCAGTTTCCATTAGGAAGAAAGCAATTAAACAAAACAAGCAGATGCGAATTTTACAAAAGATTTTATTTGCTCTTCACCTTTAAGGCTACACAGAGGAGGCTTCTTTTCTTGGTAGCAGCTGTTCAAGGGGAAACTTGCAGTTATTGCATAACAATGTTCTTTAACCATTTAGTATTCCAGATTTAGCATTGGAGATTATGTATCGGAATTTCAGGAGCAGGACCACACCTCCAAACACGCTCCTTCCAGCTGTCATCTAAATAGGTTCCCCCAGTTCTGCAAGCCGATCATTCTCGTTTTCGTGCCCCACCCTCCCTCCTTCTTCACTTCTATATAGTACCTGGGAGCCATCACCAGTCCCCTTTGAGGCCTTCCACAAACTGCAGCTCAATTCATGTCAAAGCATTCACTTTTACCTACTAAAACGCTGTCAAACGTAAAGTGAGGATGTTGGCCCAGCTAGTGAAATAAAGTATGTCAATAAGAATTAGGTTTCCTCTTTGTGTGTGGCATTGTCCATGGTGTAGTGAGTGATATCTATAATGGGAACTCTTAAGTGTATCTATTACATCTGTGGATGTCCAGCTATGACTATCCAAAATTTCCATAGATAGTGTCCTTCATTAATATCTACCGAGGCAGATTAAGGCTAGATCTCACCCCAGTTATCCTATCTCTTAATTGTCTTTATCAGCTTATCACAGTAGTCCCTGAAGGGGACACTCTTTTCTATACTTCAAAGGGTCCAAGCAAAAGCCAGAGAACATCATTAGGTCTAACCTTTGTAATAAATTGATATTTTTAATTGTTGTTCCTTGTTTGTGTAATCTGAGACTACGCAGCAAGAAGACACTGGGTTGAAGTAATGTGAACATTTGGTAGTTCTAGATTTATTTTTTTTTCTTTTAAGATTTAAAGCTGCTAAACCACCTTTCTTTCCCTGCAATTTTTTCTGCAGTTTTGGAGGTTTTTCATCAGAGTTCAAATTTTGCTAGTTTTGAAACTAACCACAATTCTGTGTTCTGGTACAGGTTGGGAACTGGTTTCATCTCCACTGGCTGGATGGAGCTGTTAAAGCATTTTAAAAAGAAGTTGGTTCTCGTCTTCATCACTGCACTCTTCCTCTTTTTGGTCTTCACTGTGAAAACGCCCAGCACATACAACTCAATCCCAAAACCATCTGGGCTGCCAAGTGCTTGCTCCATGAGGATATCCGAGCAGACCATCACGCCGCTTAACAATACCAAGCACTTACTGGTGTCAGCCTACATGGACCAAAGAGTGAAGGATTTTGATATACGCATCATTGGCATATTTAGGAGAGACTCCATCCAACCCCTTCACTGCTTTTTCTGCTGTATTGGTTATTTGAGTAAAACCACTCCAGCAACAATTTTACAGCATCCAGATAACTTTGGTTTTCCCTTTGTCACTACGGATGTCATGTGTCAGATTCCTCAGAACTGCAATGCGACACATGTCACTCTCTTGACTACACCAGACAAAGAGAGTCCATCTACTGATCAATGGCTCCCAATAAGAAACAAAGACACAGTTGGTCAGAAGGAAGAAAACATGCAGTTTGACTTCACAGTCTGCATCTCTAACCTCTTTGGTGACTACAACAATGTGCTTCAGTTTGCACAGACTCTGGAGATGTACAAGTGAGTACTGCAACACCACCACAAGCTACAAAGTCAAAAATGTGCAACAGCAGCTGGTCCTGACACAGAATGAAACCTAACAAGCTCTGCAAAGGCTCCTCTTCAATGCAGTGTCTGGATTGTATCACATTGCACAGTTGTGTCTGTTACTTCTGTTGCTTCTGGAGTAACAGACACAACTGTTGGATAGTGTCTTGCCCCTCAGAAGTCTATCACTTGGCACTAAATATTTATGGGAGCACGGTTTAAAATTCTGCAGGAGCTGTACGTCTTTTCAGACACTGTAGGAAAATGGATTTTTAGCCCTGTAAACTGTGGATTTCCAGCTGTTCAGAACCAGTTAGGAATAGACAGTGTCCCTCCTACTTGAGAAACACCACAGACTACTCTTAATGATTATAATATTATTTTTTGTCTGTGTATTTTATCAGTCACATAGCTGCAAGCTATTGTGACAGGTACAGGCTAATACAGTATAAATAGTATAACACAGTATAAATATTATACTAAGGATAGAAAAATGACCAACTGTTTGCTATATAAACCACAATTGTTTTTAGTAATCTGTTTTGTTTGCTGACAATGATGAACTAATTTGCCTTATTTTTGGGGCGATCGTGGCTCAAGAGTTGGGAGTTTGCCTTGTAATCGGAAGGTTGCCGGTTCGAGCCCCGGCTTGGACAGTCTCGGTCGTTGTGTCCTTGGGCAAGACACTTCACCCATTGCCTACTGGTGGTGGTCAGAGGGCCCGGTAGCGCCAGTGTCCGGCAGCCTCGCCTCTGTCAGTGCGCCCCAGGGTGGCTGTGGCTACAATGTAGCTTGCCATCACCAGTGTGTGAATGGGTGGATGACTGGTGTTAAGGTTCAAAAATTGAGGAGGGAGAGTACAAACCACCATGGTCCAGAAGATCTTGGTCAAACAATGATTTTAATGAATACACACGTGTGGGAAGAACAACTCTGTACGCAGACAGCAATCGATCTTCGACTTAATCAAAGCATAAACAGATTTTTATAGCATCAGGGTTTGATTTACTGACGCCCCCTCATGCGTCACAGATACATTTTATACATACGTCAAATCAAAACCACAATGACTTTTAACACAATTTAAAAAGAACGCCGCCGTCGTCTTTATAACAGGTACATCCTGTTACTGCCGGATGCTCGCTTGTCATCCAGACACATCAGCAGCAGTTCTGCGACAAACTGCTCCTTTTGCAACCCCAAGCAAAACATGATTAAACTTTCACCTATAAATGATTCTCTCTAACTGAGTGTGTGTGTGTGTGTTAACCACAATTGCACCCTACTTCACCTCGCCGACTAGCTCCTGACCTCTAACCAGACAGAGAGACAGAAACCACTCTCGTATATGTAATAATCGAACTGAAACTATGGATATGACTTTTACTAAATAAATGTTTTAATCAAGAACCTCTACTAAAGCTTAATATAAAAATATAAAAGTATAACAGAATCTTTTGAATAACCTAGACTTTGCTTTCACTTCTGCAAACTCTCTGCAACTTCCTGTCAGCCTGCTGCATTTAGTCTTTCTAAAACACACACACTGTTTAAACCTCTGAATACAATATCAATGCTGCAGATTATATTATTAATGCAATAGTAATGATGATGATTATTTAACAATAGCAGTAAAATAATTTCCCTGCTCCACACTGGATATGTAAAGCTGTTCAGAACCAGTTAGGAATAGACAGTGTCCCTCCTACTTGAGAAACACCACAGACTACTCTTAATGATTGTAATATTATTTTTTGTCTGTGTATTTTATCAGTCACATAGCTGCAAGCTATTGTGACAGGTACAGGCTAATACAGTATAAATATTATACTAAGGATAGAAAAATGACCAACTATTTTCTATATAAACCACAATTGTTTTTAGTAATCTGTTTTGTTTGCTGACAACGATGAACTAATTTGCCTTATTTTGTCCCAGGTTGCTGGGTGTGAACAGAGTGGTGATCTATAACACCAGCTGTGGTCCAGAGCTCAATCGCCTGTTGCAGAGTTACAGCGACGAGGGCTTTGTGGAAATGGTTCCTTGGCCCATTGACAAGCATCTGAATCCATCTCGTGGCTGGCTTCACTCAGAGCATGGAGGAGACGTGCACTACTTTGGCCAGCTGACCACACTTAATGAGTGCATTTACAGATCAATGGAGCGTTCTCGCTACGTCCTGTTGAATGACATTGATGAGATTATAATGCCTTACCAGCACGATGACCTGATGTCTTTGATGAACACGCTCCAAAATCAGCATCCAAATGTAGGCTGTTCTTGTAATAAATTTGAAAATACATTTCATCAAAAATTCAGTATCCCATACAATAAGTTGTATTTGACTTGTTTTTATCTAATTTGAAGGCAGGGGTGTTCCTTATTGAGAATCATATTTTCCCAAAGAAACACTTTGAGCCAAGTGGACGGTTTCACCTGCCTCAGTGGAACGGGGTGCCAGGAATTAATATTCTGGAGCACATCTACAGGGAGGACCCCGCCAGAAACGTATACCATCCACACAAGATGATAGTTCGGCCAAGGTAAGCTGAATTTGTCAGACGGAAGATTTACTCTATTTAGGATACAGTTCTTTGGTTTAATTAATTATACATTTGACTGCAAGTTAAAAAAAAATAAGTACCTTAGTTATTGAACTTGATAAACCATGATATGAGATATGAGAAACATCAAAACTGGTTGGAATGACAGTCCCAGGTACAAAACACATTTAACAAAAGTTCTTATTTTGTTCCTATCTAATTTGATTAACATTTGAACTTTCAGATTTGAAATATGTCATATTGCTCATACAGAACTAACACAAAATGTAAACATGAACCCAGGAAACAGAAACCTTGAGGGAAGGCTCCCTACGGGTTTCCTAAAGGTCACAGTTTAGAGAATGTCCGAACAACCTGAGGGTTATTTTTGCCAATTTTTCAGAGATCATCCCTTAAGGTATTGCCAGAAAACCCAGGGAACATTCACTAAGGGTCCCCCAAGACTGATTTGTGAAACTTTCAAAGAACCTTCAGGGCACTCCTAAAGAGCAGGATCTTCAGTAATCGGTGTACCCTTAACTCCTAGCAGTTAACTGTCTTGTGTTTTGTGTCACAGAATGGTGGAGTGGACTTCAGTCCATGAAGTGATCAAGAATTTTGGAGAACGCTACAAGGTTCCACTAGATGTTTGTCGGATCATTCATGTCCGTGTGGCTCTACAGGGATCATTAACCCTGGAGCAACTTAATGTGGATAAACGACTGTGGGACTTTCAGGAAAAACTCATTCCCAACGTGGACAAGGTGTTGAAGAGGGTGGGGATGTTGAACTTGACATAGAACTAATGGATAAAACACAGTGAATCAGATCGTGAATGTGCATCTTTGAATCAGGGGCATTTGTGAATTCATTGTGTCATTGTTTTCTGAATATTTTGCACCAAGTGCCAGTAAAATCCCTACACTTACCTGAATATGGCTTAATTGCCTACTTTGAATAACTACAAGCGTTTTGAAGAACACATTGGTTCCAATGCTGTGTGATATGAGTGTGACCATTTAAATAGTCCTTAATATAAAACTGTTGACTTGAAGAACTGCAAATATTTTAACTGTCCTGCCTATGCCACCTGAAGAGAGTAGAAACATTTACTAAATCCACAATATAACGTCCCATAGAATTTGCCCAGTTGTCAGGTTGGAAGAATCAGAGATGGGGAAAGCATTTTTATCTGGGGTGGCTGTAGCTCAGGAGGTAGAGCAGGTCACCTATTAATTGTAAGGTTGGTGGTTTGATCCCTATCGAGTCACCACAATATGCCAAGTATTCTTTGGCAAGACAATAACACCAAGTGTCTCTGTAATGTGTTAGATAGAAAGAGCTTAGGGAATAAAGTTTAAATACTATTTTGAGAGTAAAGTCAACATGTAAATACAAGGTCTTGAAGGACGAGGCCCTTCCTCCTAAGGTCTAAGGATAATGTTGGTAATATAAAATTCTTATATATTTTATCATTTGTTGTGACCTTGACCCAGTTTTCCCCAAAATGAAAGGCTCATGCTGTTATTGGTATGAACCATCACAGTTTGAAAATGATATCTTAGACCTGTACTCGCATTCCAGCCTTTACATTCATTACATAATTTACATTCAATAACTAGAGACGGTTGTGTGAGAAAAGTAAATAAGCATTTTGTGAAATACTCAGAACAGCCAGATTGGCACCAACAACCATGACACGTTCACTAAAAACACCTTTGTTCACCATTCAAATACTGTTTTGACTTCAGGGAGTTGTCTTGACCATGGTCGTGTCCAAATTCATGGGCTGCATCCTCCTGAGGCCGCATTTGTAGACCGATTACGTCACAGCGACGCGCCGAAGGCTGTCCAAATTCGTAGACTCCTCCGAATGTAGCCGACAAATGCGTCCTCCTTTTCCCCGAATTTGAAGGATGGGTTGGGTGTGTCCTTCGTGGCCTACCATATCCCAGAATTCATAGCGCGGCCCAGCCAAACTCCAGTTTCCAGCAATGGCGGCCGCTACTAAGTTTTAAAATTACTCATACTAATCTTTCTGGGTCACAAAATAACCTTTTAACATATTTTCAGGCGAGAAAGTAGTTGTGTAAACATCAAATATCTGCTCGGTTTATCAAGATATCGCATATTTGCAAAAGTGCTTCGACGTTTTCGGAGGCTTCTGCTACCCACCAGCTCGATAGCTAGCCGGGAGCTCGAGGGTTACTGATGCGGCCGAGAACGGCACAACTCCCGGCACATCATTTTCAGATCACCGCGGACTTTCGCTGCTCGGGTTAAACGTAATATATGTCACTTAGACAACCTAAAAATGTTATTGTTGGGCTTTTTTCAGTGTTTTGTTTGTTCGTGAGTAAATCGGTTTGGCTGAGATTAAAGTTATTAGATTAGATTAGATTAGATGAAATAAAACTTTATTAATCCCCCTCCTTGGTTTTTACACAGCTGACTAAACGTCAAACAGAAAACTGATTAAACATAAGTATGAGCCAGTCGAGAATTTACGCCAGTGTCCTGTTATATTTTAGATAGCAAGGAGCAGACGGCTGAGTTTATTAAACTCCACCGAGACAGCGGCGACGCTAATCTGAAGGCTAGACCGTCCAATTTCACGGCCGTTTACTTCCGGCCTACCCGACCTTCTGAGGACCCGGCCCACGTAGACCGCAAAGGCCGGGTCCTCAGGAGGATGCAGCCCATGAATTTGGACACGACCCATGTCCATGTGCCTAAATGCAATGAGTTGCTGCTATTGCGTATTTCTAAAAATGATTTATATATCTATTTTTTTTTAATCAAACTGTGATCATTCATTTTGCCGTAACCAGCAAAATAAAATCTTTGTTTTTCTTTTTTCTCTTTGTTTTTGTGAGCAAATCAGGTGCATTGTAAAAGGTTAATTTTCTAGCATAAGGGAAGAATGGATGAATTGATAAATGAATGAATGGTTGGATGAATGAATGTATTCCTCTGGTTGTACAAGTCTCCTCTGTAACTACTGCAAATGATTATTTGAGGTTTGGAGGTATTTAAGCTAAATGATTACTTTTGTTTTCCACCAGTAATATTTAATGTTTAAGTGTGTATAACAAAGACAAAAGATAATTGCGATTCATTCTTTTCGAAAGCCATCGGTATAGCATAGCATGCCATTTTCTTTGTATTCAGAGGACAGTTTTAAAAATGTATGTGGAGGTTTGGTTTTTGAGGGGTTTAACAGCTTTTTTTAACAGTTGTGGGTGGATGACATTAAAAAAAATAATAATAATTTACCTGTATTCACATTTCATGTCTTTTTATATTTCTACTCACCAACATTTAAAAAAGATATTCTAGTATTAGCTCCAGGCTTTGAGAGCCGGTGTCCTGCAGGTTTTAGATGTGTCCTTGATCCAACACAGCTGATTCAAATGGCTAAATGACCTCCTCAACATGTCTTGTAGTTCTCCAGGGGCCTGGTAACGAACTGATCATGTGATTCAGGTGTGTTGACCCAGGGTGAGATCTAAAACCTGCCCTTGAGGCCTGGAGTTCCCCACCCCTGATCTGATAGGTTCAATGTTTTTGAGAAAGTAAGGAGATTAATAGAAATCCGATCCCTCGTATCTTCTTCCAGCAACGGCTCAAGGCTACTTAAAGAAATGTCGGCAAACCTGTTTTGACAAGTGGGGAAAAAAGAAAACAAACAGAGCCACAGAAAGCTGCAACCATTTTCAAACTGACCATTTGGCAGCGTTATCAAAGTATCATTGTTCTGAAATGGTAAAATCCTTTTTTGAATAAAACAATGTGACCACACATCTATTTTTCAGGCCATGCCACTGCAAAGCAAATCCTCTCCCACTCACACAGAAAAGTTGACCCCACACACACTGGACACGGACACAGATAAAAAAGCATCATCATTTGGAAACTATTTATTGAACATTTGCAACCAGTTAAATACAGAACTCTTTTCTCTCTACATCCCTCAACAGCAGGGACTGGCTCCACTTCATTACACTCTTGAGAGGAGGGAATGTTACAGGACTTGGTAAGGCGCACACTGTGCTGGAAGTCTTTTGGCTTTCTTTCTTCTGATAATAAAGAGAAACGAAATCTGCCTCTCAAATGTCCAACTCTGCTTCCTCTCCTCGCAACTGTTTGACCTGCAGCCAGGTGCTTCTGTCAATCCATACAGCCCGTGGCAAAAATGACACAAATAGGAGGCGAGAAGAGAAAACTGGTATAGACTACTGAGAACAATCCCTACTGGATGTAGTCTCAGATGTGTAGCCATGACTGAAAAGCTAAAAGTAAAATGATCAACATGAATATATTAGAAAAATGGCAATTAGTCTTTAATGAACACCTCGCCTCACCACCTCCCAAACAAGTTTTGGGTTATAAATTAAAACTGTCCAAATAAAATCAATTAACCAAGACTTTGGGCCCCTGTTCAGTTCCACTTCAAGACTGGAAAATCGTCATTGAAAAAAAAAACAAATGGCACTTTTCAGTCTCTTGAACTGGAATCTAGAATCTCGACTCCAATGACATCGACCCCAACCCTAAAAAATCAACTCTAATTTACATATATGGGTGAGGTGCTCTTCAAGCCTCTGCCATTTTAGCAGTTGTTCCCCAAGGGACAATGAGAAGGGGGCTCTGTGGTCTCTTGGGTGGGGTCGGGGTGAGGTGTGGGGCTAGGCCACGGTTTTGAAGGTCTGCAGTATGAGGTTGGTTTGGTGGATGAGCCGGTTTGCGCTGATGAAGACATTTATTGCCCTGGGAACAAAGAAAAATGATAGCTTGTGAAAACTCACTGGAGAACATCATACACAGTACAACAGAGTGAACAACAACTTTAGAACAAGAGTGGAAAAGCTGCCTTCCCTTATCTAATTGGTTAAGGATATTCAAATCTAAACAATAGGAGTAGAAGTCCTGCAAGCATGGATGCTCCTGTGACCCTCTCTAACAACTTTATCCACGGTTGACACAAAACAGGATGACACTTTGTTTGCCCACGGACAAAAGTCATACCTTGGAACACTTTGCATTAGTTATTATCAATCTGATGATAACCAACTATGAGCTAGTTCCTCCTACAAAACCACGAACACCAGTTTTCTCAAATAAGGACTGCAGTAACGTTAACATTTTGTCGCTTCAATCGCAATCTCCCACATCCCAAACTATGGAATGAAATATAATCCTCAACTTACCCACAACCATAAAACCCCAAGTTTTTGACTCTGTTGGGGTTTCTGTGGTCACACTCATAAATTGCTCTTTGATGCAAGACTGTCCCCCCAAGTGCTTTAAACAGGGGGTTATCCAAACAGCAATACACACAAGTTATAGACCTCTTTAAAACTTCCTTTCATTGCTAAAATATTTGAAAAGTTTGCTGAGACAAGGTGTTAGAGAAGCCCGATATTCCAGATAACTTTGGTTTCAGGATGTTACAGTCCACAGAAACAGCTCTCCTTAAAGTCTCAAATTCTGATAGCTGTAGATACGGGTGACTGTTGATGTCTTGTTTTGCTGGATCTTAGCTCAGCCACTGATACAGTTGATCATCAAATCTTCTACGTTGACAAATCTTAAATTATGCTTTATTATTCAACAATTTCTGGACCCGTTTCCTCTGTTTTTAGAAACCACTGCTTTCTTAACTTTTACTGTGAAATATCTTTATGCACACTATATGCAACAACGACCAGGCAGTTTTAGAAAATACATTTGCACATGTTTAACAGAGACACACATTATATGACAGGCACACAGAGCTTACCAACTCTTTTTTATGTTTTAATGCAATTCAAGATTCAATAGAATCTGTCTTTAAAAAAAGGGTACTGATTAGCTGAGGCATAACACGTGGTGCCGTACTTACTTTCCATCTTTGAAGTATGTTTTGAGGGTGTCACTGAAACTTTTGGAGTATTTCACAAACTCCTTTTTCTGGTGTTCCAGGGCCTTGCCGAGCAGAAAATAAAGCAAAAACATCCATTTGAAATGAGGGGAAAATGTGAAATAATTCAAGTAGTAGTAATTGTAGCGTATTCATTACTCACTCTGCGATTCTGGTACTGATATTTTTTAATGACATTGTTGACTGTGTCCAGGAGCTCTTTTATGGCGCTGGCAATGTCTCTGTGAAGTAAAATGAAACTTTTTTTTTTTTTCTTCCAAACACAAATTCAACCAAGAAGCTAAAGGATAAAATCGGAATCAAGCACTACTTCAACCCCTTCCCCCAATATATCTCGAACATCTATTAGAGATGTCTGCTAGAGCTTGTTGGATGGATCTAAATATCGACAGTATCGATACCAACGCAGGTATTGGTATCAGATAGATACTAGCAATACTGAATTTATGCAAACTCAGTATATAGCCTACTGAATTGTGTTAAATCAATAATATTTTTTAGGAAACTGGAATCATGCACTATGAAAAATGTTTGAACATTTTGCTCAATATTTCTCCAAAGGTCTTCAATGATTGTTGTAGAATTTTCAAAACAAAATCGTCCAATTTAGCAGTATTTTCCAGATGGTTTACTACACAATTTCAAACAAAAGGGCCACGGGAAAAGTGTAAGGTGTCCATTTGGAAGATGTGATGGAAAATTTAAAACAGCTAATAGGCCTTAAGAAGAATGCAAGCATAAAAGAGCATATTTACCAGTTTTTATCCATCTTTGAACAATCTCCCTATAACGTTTATTAGAGCATAGAAAAAAAATCCAGCACTGCACTGTTATAAATTAACAGTTATAACAAAAAAAATAGATCTCAACTCAGCAAATTTCAATGTATG